CAGCGACCAGGTGCTCAGGGCCGAGTCACAAGCCCTGGAGTCAGTGCTGAACTGTGTGCAGGAAGGACTGGCCCGGCTCTCTGCTGGGGACTGGCTTGAATCAATGCAGAGGCCCAGCCAAAGGTGGGCCGGGCTCCCTCTGGGGGCCCCTTTCTACATCTTTCCCAGTGGGGGGCAGCCTTTTCCATCAAATTGCCAGAGTTGAGTGTATACTTCTTCCTAGCATCTTATGAAATATGGATGCGTTTTCTTTCTCAAAGATTAATTTTTTTGTTTCATTTCTTTTAATTTTGATAAAATATACATAACATGAAAGTTACCATCTTAAGCATTTTTCAGTGTACAGTTCAGTGGCATTAAGTAGATTCACACGGCTGTGCAACCATCACCACAGCTCTTTCCACCCTCCCCAGCTGAAACTTTGCCCCAATTAAACACTAACTCCCCACGCGCCCTCCACCCAGCCCCTGGCAGCCACCATTCTGCTTTCTGACCTATAAATCTGACTACTCTGGGTACCTCAAATAGGTGGAATCATACAATATCTGCCCTTTTCTGACTGGAGTGTTAGGCTAATGCCCTCACAGTTCATCCTCACTGCAGCATGAGTTGGCATTTTCTTCCTTTTGAAGGCTGAATAATATTCCATTGTGTGTATAGACCACATTTGGTTTATCCACTCATCCCTTGATGAACTCAGGTTGCTTTCACCTTTCAGCTACTGTAAGCAATGCTGCTTTGAACATACTGTGCAGATATCTCTTCGAGGCTCTGTTTTCAATTATTTTAAGTAACTACCCAGAAGTGGAATTGCTGATTGGATAAGTGGGGTTTTTTTTTGTTTATTTGTTTCATTTCCCTTCAATCCTCACCTGAGGATATGCTCATTGATTTGAGAGAAGAGAGAGAGAAAAGAGAAAGAGAAATATCGATGTGAAAGAGAAACAGTGATTGGCTGCTTCCGGTACTCTCCCAGACCAGGTACCCAACCTGCAGTTGTAATAGAGATGTGTCACCTAATGTACAGACTTTCCTTTACTTTCTCTGATCAGCTCTTCCCTGCCCTTGCCTCATCTAACTAACACACCTTTTGTCCCCTGACCTTCATCACCCACACCTGACGCATACACTGGATTTGGGACTACTTGCTACTGCTAGCATTATTTAAGAGAGAAGCTTACAATGTTAAAAAATCATCAGATCAGGGCAGGGCACCTGACCTAGAATGAGCCAGTGAGCCCCTTCCCTAGGAATCTGAATAGAAACTGAGAAGTTTCCACAGTCTGGCTGCTATGAATTCAGAACTGTTGACAGAAGCCAATTTCCACCATCATTTCCACCANTGAGAAGTTTCCACAGTCTGGCTGCTATGAATTCAGAACTGTTGACAGAAGCCAATTTCCACCATCATTTGGAAGCCAGGAGAAGCTGATCTGTGGGGAGAGAGAACGAAGCAGCTGCACAGAGAGGAGCAGAAATTGGAGCTGGAGAGGGGGAGTCCTGGATTTCCTGAAGCCCTTGTGTCCCTGGCCAGCTGGCTTGCAGTTCACCTCTCGTAGATGTCATGGACTGGCCCAGTCTCCTCATGGTAAAGATCCCATTATGCTCAAGCTGGTTCCTACACCCAAGGTTCTAGCCAGTGCACAGGTGCACTCAACTCAAACAGGCATGCCCAACTTAAACAGACTTTTCACTTAATGACTTGTTTCTGTAGCAATACCTACTATTTTCATTAGGACCGAAAAACAAAAACAAAAAAACTTCCAAAACTCTTTGCTTAGCTAGGGTAATTTGCATGAACTTTTCAAAATTAATTTTTAAACACAGTAATACATATATGAATACATTCTTTATAGAAATGAAAAGATCATAGATATTTTAAGGTAAAGTTTTGTTGGGGGGTTTTTATTCTACTTTCCTGATTAGCAATTGCCGATACGAGTTTCAGCCCAGAGGTTTGTTTGAGCTCAGGACTCAGCCTGGGGCTGAGCTCCTTGCAGTCAGAGTTCCCTAGTCATCTTTATGTGCTTCACACCCAGCATATGCCTGCCACATGAAATGCCCTCGAAGTGTTAATAAGCAAATGGATGAAATCAATCAATCAATCAATCAATCAATCAATCAATCAGGGGGTTGGACTACATGATCCATAGGATCCTCTCCAGTTCTTATGTTTTGTGTATCTTATGATTCTAAAACCTGTCCATTTGCTGACAATTGTTTATTGGCAGATTCTGGACACAGTTTCTGTACATACAATAATAACACTGGCTTCCATAAGCACAACCAATGTCTCTATTAGAGATTACTTACTGTCTGCCGCTGTTACATGTCAAGATATATAAGTTGAATTAGAGTAGAGCTAAAACTTTGGAAAATGTAAAGGTTTTAAACATTATACAAAAAAGTCATTAGCTATATAAAATATAAATGATGTTATATGTGACCTTTTAATACATTATTCCAATGACAAAGTGGCGAGGAGCCCTATTGCTAGGGTTCAAATCCTGGCTTCACCACTTGCTAGCTGTGTGATCTTAGGCAAGTTACTGAACCATTCTGTGCCTGAGTTGTCTCATATATAAAATTGGGGTAATGATTGTATTTACCCTGTAAAGTTGTTATGAGATTAAAAGCATCCCAGTAAAAGTTAAGTGCTTGCAATACTGCTTGGCACATAGTAAGGCATGATACAACTGTTAGCAACCTGATCTTGCCTTTGGGCAATCCCAGCCGGTCTAGGGGGAGGTGATGACATCCCTGAGCACAGAACTGGAAGGGCCCATATTATACACCTTAAAAATATACAATTTCTATATGTCCATTATGCCTCACTAAAGCAGGGGGAAAAATTAAATAATTCAGGGACTTTTCAATCAGCACTTGCTGATAAAAAGACATGAATTTTTCAAATTATACACACACACATAGAATTTTAGGGGCTGAGGCCCAGGCATTGGTATTTTTGAAGCACCAGGGAGATAGGAATGTGTAGTCAGGTCTGAGAATCAACCTCTAGACCTTCTAGAATAAAGCTAAGTCACCTCCATCCATCTCTAGAGGAAGAACATTCAGGTCCCTCATCTGATGGCAATAGCAGAGTCCAGAAGTTTGGTCTCTTCTGCTGTATGCCAGGGATCTTGCAGGCAGCTGTATGACCTGCCTCGGTTGCATTTGGGAGGTTGACCTTGGAACAGTGGCCTGGTGAGATTAGGGCTTGCACTTGGACAATGGCCTGGTGAGATTAGGGTTTGCACTTGGACAATGGCCTGGTGAGATTAGGGTTTGCACTTGGACAATGGCCTGGTGAGATTAGGGTTTGCACTTGGACAATGGCCTGGTGAGATTAGGGTTTGCACTTGGACAATGGCCTGGTGAGATTAGGGTTTGCACTTGGACAATGGCCTGGTGAGATTAGGGTTTGCACTTGGACAATGGCCTGGTGAGATTAGGGTTTGCACTTGGACAATGGCCTGGTGAGATTAGGGTTTGCACTTGGACAATGGCCTGGTGAGATTANTGGGCTGGAACTTGGCCTCGGTGACTTGCATTCAAGTTAGCACCTGGGTCAAGTCTTTAGTTCCTAAACTGGCTGCAGCTGCTAAGCTGTCATCATTNGGTGACTTGCATTCAAGTTAGCACCTGGGTCAAGTCTTTAGTTCCTAAACTGGCTGCAGCTGCTAAGCTGTCCTTATGCCTAGAACAGTGACTCCTTGGGCTTGGGCCTCTCACCCTCAAGTGTCATCTCAGGAGAGGGGCTTCGAGCCACCCTGACTCAGATGCTGTTCAGATTCCTGACAGGTCAGCTTCCAAGCAGTGGAGGTTAAGGCTGTGGTGCACCAACAACCACGGGCACCAAGGTGGCACTCTCACAGCTGGAGCAGCTCAGGAAATGGGCAGTGGTTCAGTCTCTTGGGTCAGAAGACAGGAGGCTGCAGAGGAAGCAAGCGGCTCTTGCTCAGAAGCTCAGGCTCCTGGTTTGGGGTCCAGGCGGCCGTGACGGTACCGCGCCCCCCAGAGGTGGAGTCTGGATGGTGAGGACCAGGTGCTGTGTACTGGTTGCTGCCCCAGGTAGTAGAGTAATGGTCTTTCTCTTCATTTCATTTCTTTGGGGAGAGATGAGCCCCAGGAGACTCTCAGTCTATGGTCTCAAGCCCAAGGTCTGACGAATCTCAGCAATCTTTAAAGATCAGCTCTCTTTGGTTCCAAGGACAAAATGCCCAGGAATGCTGAAGTGTGGCATTCCTTACGTATGTACATTTTCTTTTCATTTATTCCATAAGCCAGTTTCCTTATACCCTGTCAGTGATAATCTTGTTCTCCCAGTTTTCAGCTAGAACTGAGCTTAAACTGGATGTCCTTACAAGAGAAATCAACAAAAAACAGTGAAACTAGATGTAAGAAAACTTGTGCTTGGCAGAATGACAAGAAAGGAATTCTCTTTCTTACTAAACTGGAAAAAAACAAACAAACAGGTACTGCATCTCCTTGCTGCCCTCAGCTGGTATAGAAAGAGACCATGCTCTGTTACAGTAAATTCCTCCAGTTTCTACTCTTTCAAAATCCAAACCAGAAGTATCTAAAAATTTCCCTGTACCTTGAAAGAAGTTAGATTTCATTCATAAACACTGAAGGTTTTCAGCTGCCCTACCCATTAGAAATAGCAGATGTTACCCTTGTCTTCCTTCATCAGAAAGACTTGGTTGGTTCAGTCCATTCTCCCAGCGAGAGTGGTTGGGCTGAAGTCATGGGAGGAATCCTGGGTCAGAGCATGAGCATCCACCATGTTCTTACTCTGTGACACCTTCCTATGCCCTCCAGTAACTGTGCCTGTGCTACACATTGCTCTGTATTTGAAAAGAAGTCTCTTGTGACATGAAATAAGTAGGTGGTGTGTTTTCCAGGAGAGGGATGCAAAACTCAACACACCCTGGGTTTCAAAGCATTCATTTCTGCTTGGGTAAAGAGCTAATTGAATGAAAAACATGGATTTAACACACTTAAATGATACAGAAATCACCTTTATTTGGTTGCAGCCCTAACTTCATTTTCCTTAATACAATACTGTTTCACTTTTACTGCTTTTACATTCATGAAAGCAACACCGCTGAACTGCAAAACTATCCACATGCGACAGTACCTGATACATGCATTTTGATTTGTTAACAAGTGATAGAAAAGATTATGTCATCTCATTAAGAAAATATTTCCTTAGACACCTTGTTTAATTTTGATTTTCTTTAAAAGAGTTATAGCAAAGGGCTGTTTCAAAGGCTGACTCTTTGTCCTTTCACAAGCCGTCCTCGAAAACTCCAAATATCCTGGAAATAATGCCAAACAAAATGAGTTTATGAAACAGTTTGATTTGTCTCTTAACCATAAAAGAAAGCTTGAACTATACACACACATATATATATGATCAGTTTCTTGGTTCAGAGGCTAAACTATACAGAGTCTACAAAGCAAATATGTTTATTTGCCTTGACTGATAATTTTTCTATTGATCCTCATCAGTACTGAATGTCCACTAATTAAAAACAAATAATTTACAAGTGATGTGTATGAATTAGGAAAGCATATGATATATTGTCTCACATCTCTTATTGATAAGCATTAATGATCTTTAATCTCTGCTATATGCAAACTGTGCCTCTCATTAAACTGCAAGTGCAAAGTGACCCAAACAAACACTTGCCTTCGAATTGCCTCCTGGGAGTCTTATTGGACCTCCACACATATAATGTTCAAATTTATTCTGTGCAAATAAAGGAGGGCTGTGATTGCTAGTCCAAACCTTCAACTTCTCTTGTGTCATTCCAAAGGTAGTCTTTTGTCCTTCATTTCCTTCCTCTAAATCTGTTTTCTATTTTCTTTCCTACCTGTCTGTCCTGGAACAAGGTAGCTCGCATACCCCAGGACAACCCAAAGATGTAAGGAAGCCAGCACATTCTCAGCTCCCCCACACTGAGGAAGCAAGTTCAAACCGACTCCCACGGTTATTCTAGTGGGTCTCAGCCACGTTTCTGCAGCGAGCTCTCAACCCAAGCACTTTACACCCTCAAATTAGATCAGCTATGAGAATTAGTAAGCGTCTGAAGAAAAGAAAAATGTCAAGATCTTTACCTTGTCATTTCAAACACATACCTTCAGGTTTATACCTTCTTTCACTCCATACAATTTTTCTGCTAACGACAAAATTTCCTTCTCAATGTTTTCTTGACTGGTACCCTTCACGTCGATATATTGGCAACTGGCACTGGCAAAATGGCAGGAAATTGCCTGGGCAAAGTGAAACAATTAATATTAGGGGGAAAATCCCATCAACACCAGCAACCAAGCAAGGTTTCTTTTGGAAAGTTAGTTATTTCACTCAGCATTCAGTTTCTAGATTGAAAGCTGTTCTACCATTGTGTCTTAAATCAGTCTCTTTGTTGCTCAGTAGGTTTTTCCCTCCCAGCTAAAGGCTACTTGAGAAATTACAAGAGGTTTTTAAATAGCTGTAATATTTATTTTCAAAAGGCATTTATGGGGCAGGGAACATAATTCCATTAAGTCAGAGGTCTTTAACTTTTTAACATTTGATTTTTCTAAAGGAGTGGATATCCCCTAGTGCTAAAAGGGAACGTATTCCAGGGTTTTTCATCATCTTCTTAGTCGCAGAAGTTACTCAATCAAGTTTGCGATGGGTTGTTATTTCAATGGCCACAGATTACGAAGGAAAAAAAAAAACTTGCAAAGGAAAATAATACACACACACCCTTCTCGAATCAAAAGGACACTTATAGTCTGACAGTATTCATACAAGAGATGTATCTTGTTTCCTTATGAAGGCAAGACAGGAGTTGCTTGGCTCTTCCCATTCTTGAAAAGTTATTAACAGATGTGCTGCAAGGCAGTACTTAAAACTCACCTTCTGGTCACATGTTACTTATCTTAAGGTGACCACACTTGTCAGAGGACTTACTACTTTGCCCAAAACATCACATTTCCAGGCATTGGAGTCACAAACTCCATGTCCCATGGGAGCCCCAGTACCATGCCGAGCCACAGTGGAGCCTGGGGCAAAATGTGCATCCTTTATACATGTTTTTATGTAGTTGTTTTTAAAGGTTAGTGTTTTTCCAAACATTAAAGTAGTTGAAAAAATATTGAGAAATTTCAAACTCAGTATATTAAACGTATTCTTTATACTGTGGTGCCAATACCCCTCTGCACAGCGCTGAAGGTTGTGCCGACGAAGAACCTGATCTTGTCTTTATTTAAAATTTTGACACTGGGCTCATCATAGATTTTTTTGCGGTAATTTTGATTTTTTAAAATATTATTGTAAAGAATATTATTTAATTGTTTTTTTTAGTCACCACCCCTTTCAATTTTGCCTGTGAAAGGAGAGTGCCTTCTCACCTCATCCTTCCCCGGGCCCTGCTGAGCCTGGTGGAAATCTGAATGAATGAAAGATGAAATCTAGCAACTAACCTTTGCCTCAGGGAGACAGCTGGGGTTGGTGTAACAAACGAACAGCCTCACTAGGCCCCAAAGAAGCCCCCAATATTTAGTATTGACAGCCATGTCATCATGGGGACAATGTGAGTCTACAGTACTGCCAGATGTGCTGAATTTTAGAGAAATCAGAGATCTGGGGATTTATGAAAAATTTGTCAATTTTTAATGTAAGCAATGAAATCATTAAGTTTAAAATACTCAGACTGAGGAGTGAAAACAATGGCTGCCAGCTAAATCTGATTTCTAGACAGCCAATTCAGAACATTTCTTTCTGATCAATAATATTTTTCTCAATAGCGACGATACTATAAACTTTCCTCATATGGCTACTATGAGCTATATACATTCAAATTTTATTATTTTATATGTCAGCAATGGTTTCTGCCTCTGAGGCACAGCTGTCAGCTCCCAACTAAGTTCTTGCTCTGAAGCAAATCACGAATGACCATGATTCGATAGCATCAGGGTTGGGATCCTGAGGTCACCTGGCTTCTTACTGATACGAGTAAAAACAGCATGAGGTAGGCAAATATATTTCCTGGTAATTAAATTGGACTAAAGGCTAGTTTAATTCAAAGTCACAAATCTTTTAAATTTCAATAGAACTTGGCCTTTTTGTGTCTAACATTTAACTCTGGACAGTGCAGTGATGCTAATGCAAACCTTCCGGAATCCTGCAGTTCTGTTCTGACCAGATCCATGGATGAGCAAAGGGTGAAAGAAAACGGTGTCTCCCTTCTCCATCACTAGATGCACCCGGGAGTTATTTTCATCATAGTCCTGGATCCCGTGGAACATTATGTTTATTCCCCCCTAGAACACATAAGAGAAGCCAAGTCTGTATTTGAGGAAGCCAGTAATTACAAATATTATTGATCATCAGGAAAAGCAAAGGTCCTCTAAGTTCTTCTAAAAAAAGGAGATAAATAAATCAGATTCTTTTAAAAAACTATAAATATACAAAAGCTTCTCAGATGTCTGGTTTTAAAAAGTCACCTGTTGATATTAAAATCACACTTTTTTTTTTGACCAAACGAAAACTTTGTAATTTCCACCTACCCTTCTTTACTGAATAATAAATGAAGATCTAGATCAGCTTTGAATTTTTTGCTTAAAGCAGAACTCCTTTCTAGCTCGAATCTTGATCATTCTTTCCTAGCATGATAGTCTCCTCTACAATTTTGCATACTTCACTCTTCTATTACTCAGGAGTATCTCTGGGAAGCTACTCTCCCAAACTAGGGGACAAAAAATACTCAATTTTTCTGAGCTCAGAAACCACTCATGTCACATCCAGAGTAAAGAAGGAAGAACTGCAAATTAAAACATTGCATTTGTTTATAACTATTTCCAAAGTTAGTTATTGCTTTAGGTAATGGTTACGTCTTTATTTAAAACTACAGTGAGAAGTGATTTAAAGTTGACAAGCTTTATGAGGGGATGGGGATCGGGGCTGCTGTTCTAGGGCAGAGGCAGTGCAGTATCCCCTTCCCCTTCCAAGACTGTCCCAAACCCCTTTTGAGGAATAACTGCTTCCCTGTTGGACTGTGTTAGGACTTCGATCCAGCGCACTTCCTTCCTGGCCAGGGTGGGTATGTGACACAAACTAAGCCAATCTGACCTCCCACTGCTGCCACTCGGTTTCAAATCAGAACAGAGGATGGAAGAGACCAGACACAGTCAGGGTTCAACTGCCCCAACCCCACTCTTCCCACCGAGCAACAACGCGACTTCCTGCCCACCCATCAGGCCTTACCAGCCTTCCAGAGGCTCAGCGTGACCCTGTGGCTCTCCAAAACACTCCCTTTTGCTTGCACCAAACCTTCCCTAAACCTCACCTAAACAGGCAAACCTCATAATTTCAGATTTTATATCAGATTCTAGACTCAGTTTTTTTTTTTTACTTAGAGCTAATCATCAGCACAAGAATTCTCACTGAGACAGAAGTCCTTAAAGCCATATCCTCTTTCCTTCCTACAGAATCACATTCATTCTTCCTGCCTCAACAGTTGCTCTTCTCTTTCTGACCATCATCATGTGGTTTCAAGATGTTATTGCCTTATACCTAAAACACTAAAGCCTCCTCTCTGGTTTCTCTGCCTCCGGACCCCTACATCTCCAAGACATCCTGTGCACACCCCAAGATTATCATTCTTGAGGAACCAATCTGATCTCATCACTCATGAGCTCAAATGTATTTAACAGTCCTCCTGTATCAACAGTTGAATCCATAAACAGTAGAACCGCAGGGCAGCCATACAGAGGAATACTGCTCCGTCCTACCCAGAGCCTCCACTGGCCTCTCCAGCTGGAAGGAGATGATCCCTCCCTCTTTTTCACTCCGAGAGCCATCAATCACTGTGTTAAGACTTACTTGCCACTTGGCACAGGCATCTGGTCTTGCAATGTTTATGTCTCACCTTTGCAATTATGCTCTATAATCTGGGATCCTAAAACACCTACCAAAGTTCCCCATGTTGATTGGCTTTCAAACCCTTGTATAAAGTGTAAAAATGAGTATTTTATCTAACATCCTTGAATTTTCCCTGATCCTGTAATTCCAAATCCTAGACCAATGTTTTGCTACGAAAGGAAATGCCATCTCGTTGGTAAAGCTCTTTATGTATACCGATGGGAAATCAAAACAAGGAAAGATTGTGATCAAGACTCAGCTGCTAGGCAGACCTACCTCCCACTGAGGGTAATCATGAGGCTTCAGGGTGCCTTTGTGTGTGCCTGGGAGCACCACCAGGCAGCCATTGTTCCGGTCAATGTGCTCCATGGCTGTCCAAGCACAAACAATGCTATCGCTGGGCCTGAAGGGGAAGTAGTGCAGATCCTGGTGCAGAGGATGGCGGGATGTCTTCTTGCCTGAAATGGAACTTGCTGTTAGAAGATGCTTGAGTCTCAAAATTCTTCTCTTTTGCCTGAAAAACCAGGATAATGACCCACCCCTGCAAAAACCAAACAAATGAAGCAATATTCTAGAAAATCTGCCTCAAGAGATAAGCATCAAAGTGGAATATCGAATCACTACAGGGACTCTAGATCCTATACTTCCTTCTGAGTTTCTGGTAGCCGAGTACTTACACACACTATTTTCTAGCAAGTCATACATATGTCATCATCTCTATTGTGCTTTCTTCCTTTCTAACTCTGGTTTCGGCACAGAGCCTAGTATTCAAAAAAAGGTGTTTTTTTGTTTTTTTTAATAAATATATCTTTATTGATTTCAGAGAGAGGAAAGGAGAGGGAGAGAGAGATAGAAACATCAATGATGAGAGAGTCACTGATCCCACAACCCAGGCATGTAACCTAACCAGGAATCGAACCCCGATCACCTGGATCCTAGGTTGATGCTCAACCACTGAGCCACGCCCGGCCGGGCAAAAAAAAAGTTTGATTAATTACCCTGAAGAGAGTGGTCAACTTTGAGGTCCTCTGATAGTCTGCAAAAATAATTTAGCTACTAAATAAAAAGGCCTCTAAGAGGTTTTGCTACCAAACTAGAAGCATTTGGTGTGTAATCACTGTGTAGAATCAGAGATACCAGGACCACATTCACATTTCCCCTGGCTTTGCTCTCTGAATCTGATTGCCCAGGCCACCTGATCTCTCCAGGCTAGACAGGGAGAGAGAGACTTGGTGATGTTAAGCTACAGGCCTATCACATAAACCTTTCCTGGCCATTGGGAGGAAGAAAAAGTAGAAAACATTAAAGTGTCTCTAATGGCCAATTTATTACTGCTGGTAGAGCAGAATTTCTCAGCATGGCCCAATAGCCATCTGCATAAGAATACCTAGGGATGGTTAATAAAATACAGATTCCTGGGTTCTACCTTCCAAATCAGTTTCTCATGGAGTGAGGTTTCAGAAGCTATATTTTAGCAAGCACAAGACATTTTAAGAACTGTAGTATGTGATTTATAAAAAGTTTTAATTTTGTTCATAATAATAATGTCTTCAGATCAGGAAGGCAGAATCCACACTATCACAAGTGAGAATGGTTAATAAAGCTTAGAGATGCTGAATAACAGGAGCTTATGTTATATAAACAGTTGTTTATTAACCTGAATTTTTAAGAATCCTGTCATCTGAAAAATCCAGAAATAATAATCCTACAGTTAACATCTGAAATGTAAAAAACAAAATTCAACTGAGTAAATTTAAAGATCTAATTGGCTTTAGTGAATGATTTATGAATTGAGCAGCATCCAATGTAGCAGATAGAAAGCAGTTCTGAGGAGCTGTACCAAATGGAAGGCAGATGGTGGAGGGACAAGAACGATGCTAGAGAAGAGGACTGTTTCAGGCAGGGTCACCTTCATTTAGGGGAAGGCAGGGGGTCTATCAGGCAGATTACCTCACTAGTGCTGACCAGGAAATCCCAGACTGACTGGTTAAGATTTTATTCCTGGGGGGAACTGAAACTGCAATTAGGTTAGGTATTAAGTCTCAGTTTACTTACATGAAGAGCACAGGTGACTCCATTTTAGGCCTATTGTCTCTTTTTTAACAGTACATTTTTATTTATGCAAAGTTTAGCACTTATACACATGGCTATAATTAGAACATCAACGTTATGTATTTTAATGAAATATTTTTTTCTTCTCCTTAACAAATAAGAGCCTTTTACCAGAATCAGGAGGCTTGTTTATCAGCATGGTATGCATGGCCATAATGTTGGGTCCAGTGAAACACTCCACATATTTCAGAATCTAAAGGAAAGAGGGGGAAAGTTCATGAGACATCAGATGCACAGGCAAGTGGCACAAAGTACAACTATCTTTATGAGAACCAAGATGACAACAGTTTAAAAAAGCCAGTTGGTATCTTACAACATTGCAAACAAAGCCTAAAAAAGTCAGCACTTGGAAATCACTGGAAATTTCTAACAGGCTTTTGGGAGCCTGTTGGAAACTTAACCACTTTTTCTACAAGAGAGAGGGGTGTCTATGAGAGATCGACTAGGAAAGACGAATATGCCCTTCCTTCGGTCAAAGCTGACCACGGCTGCCTGTGAGAAGCCCGCTTCCTCTTCCTTCATGGAGACTGTTCATAGGAAGGGACCATCGCAGGGCCCAGCCCACTTGCAGCTGCTGGGAGGAGCCCAGAGGAAAGGGGAACAGCAGCTCAGAAGGCCCTTCAAAGTCAGGGTGACCATTCACTTAGCTCTTTACTGAGGTCTGTGAACTGGGCAGAGTGACGGGAAACCGAGACACGACAGGGAACTCATAGAATTTATATTATAGTCTGGTGGGGAGAAAGATGCTAAACAAATAGTGACATGGGCGGTTGTGACTGAGACACATGCTCTGAGGAATAAGCTGGGAGGAGAGCATGTGACAAGGAGGGCTGAACTAGTCACAGGTTCTGGCAGTGGCGGAGGGGCGCTGCCTCCAGCACCTAACCCTCCTTGGGAGGGGGGAAAAGCAGAAAGAACTCCACTACCTGCCTGAACGCCTACTACCTGCAGGGGCTTTATCCATTAGCGCAATTAAGCCTTACAGTAATCCCTGAAAATTAATGTTCCCGTTAATGCATAATCCTTTAAAATGAATGTCTCACATGAGTAAGCCTGAGGCTAATAAGGTGCCCAAGTTGGCAAAGCCAGTTACATGAAAAAGTTGATATTCAAACTCCAATTCTGTCTGACTCCAAAAAATGGTTTCTCACTATTTGATCTCTTGTGTATAAGGAATATTGGTAATATGTGTGTGAAACACTTGAAATGATACAAAAATCCTAGGAGTCAGGCCCAATACTTGATTTTTATAAAGACTGTCATTTTTTCATTTGTTTTTCACTTAGGTCACTATTTTCTAAACCTCAGTCATTTAAGAGCCATCCTCAGCATTTCTGCCATACTTCACAGAATTTTCCAATATAGTTAGCTAATAATTTCTTTGAATCCCTTTACTTAGTCTTATCCTGATTAATAATATTCTTGAAATCATGGTTTAGATGTGCTGGTTATTTTTTCAATACACGTTAAACTAGATAGCTATTAAAATACTGCATACCTTCTAAAATTATTGCACGAAGCACCAGATGCATGGTTCGTACTTTAGAGATGTAGGGAACTTGAAAATCCTGACAATGCCTCACCACAAGTTGTCTCCAAAGTTGAGCTTTTCGTCCTTGACCCACCCACACAGCTTCCACGCCCATCACACAACATGAAGTTGAGGTGAATGGATGGTTCTGAAGGGCCACCTCCCTGACAGTCACCACCGCAGGGGGCTGGGCATCATAAACCTGTACAGCCTTTCTTCATGAATCAAATTCTCTAACAGCTCTTGGGTTATAACTTCTAATAAGTACTATATGTAATGTCTTCTTTGAAACCATTCTAAATGAATGGTTCATGAACTGTGCTACGTGTGTGCAACGGAATAATGCGCAGCAGTTTCAAAGTATAAGTAGATCCAGAGATACTAAGGGAAAGATGTCTAAGACCTACCAGAAATGGAAAAAACAAGGTAACCAGTATGTTCCCATGTTACAAGGTGGGAGTATACAAATATGCTTGCACATACACAAAATAATTCTAGATGAATACATAAAAAAGCTGAGCAGTAAGGCTATGCGTGGGAGACTTTACATTTCATTGTATGCCCCTCTGCACTACTTGGATATTTTCATAAGTATGAATTGCTTTTAAAGAGTAGTGATTTTTTAAAACTAGTTTAAAATTAAAATCGAACTCACAACTCTGCTGCCCAGATTCATAAAACAAAAAGAAAAAAAGAAATGGACTTACAGCAATTTCACCCTTTGATATGCCTGTATCGAGTATAAGAAAGACTCTCTCTTTAACACAGAATTCCTGCCCTTTTCAACCAAAGATAATTAGCAAGTCTAGAGTGGGGTTTCTCGATCTGGGTACTACTGACATTTAGGGCTGAATAACCATTTGTTTTGGGGGGGCTATTCTGTGTATTATAGAATCCTAGACCCCATTAGCAATATCCCTGGCTTCTTTGCCTTAGAAGCCAAGAGCACACCATCCCTCCTTGTCCATGTGTGACAACCAAGCATGTCTCCAGGCACTGCAAATGCCATCTCCCATTGAGAACCACTGCTCTAGGGCCACAGCAGAAAGGCGCTAGGTAAAGTAAAAAGAATAGATTTCAGAGGCAAGCGTGTAGATGGGCTATTAGCTTAGAGAGAAAAAATGCAAGGTCTTGAACCTCAGGGAGAGTGCAGTATCTGAAGAGTTCTTCGTCTTCTTGGAAATCTTGGACCTTGGTAATCACTTTTTCATTTGGAGCACATTTGGATTGTGCAATGGTCACATCTCTCATTAACATTAATCCAGCTGGTTTTACCTCCTGTCTGCAGATTCTTTCAAACTCAGCCCTAGAAAATTTAAATTAGCAAATGATGTCATTACTGCTGTCTCCAAGTACTTGTCTGGCCCTCTTCTGGGAAAAATACACAGATGGGGGAGGGGGGAAGGGGAGTGTTCTCTCTGCACTAAGTTGGCCTCCAGCCCCAGGTTGAATAATTCTGATGGAAAGGAGAAAATGCCAACTCAGAAGTCCTTGCCTAATGGTGAGGCTGGAATTCACCACCAGGATTCAAATATTTCTTAGCTTAGACCATTTGGAGAAATATACTATGATTTGGTTACATCTGAAGAATAACAGCAAAGACTTCCACAGCACTTACCACATGCCTGGCCTGTTCGAAGTCTTGTCTCAATATTTTTATCTTATTTAGTCCTAATAACAACTCTAGGACATAAATATTGTTATTATCCCCATTTCACAGAGACATGGAAAGGTTCAGTAAATTGCCCCAGGACACACAATTGTTAAGTGTTGGGGCTAAGATAAGGGCAGCCAGTCTGGCTCCAGAGCCCACGTGCCTGACCACTTCCTAAGGAACCAAATCACTGAGCAACGTCTAAAAGTGCACAAGCTAATCTTGCTATATTCCCATCACAGGCATAAAACACATATTTCTGTAAAATAACAAATAGTTACTATACCTAAAGCGTTCAATATCAGCATCAGATACCAAATTTTTAATGACAAGAAACCCATTTTCTTCATAAAATTTTCTCTGTTCTAGGCTTAGAACGTTATTATCCCGAGTATACCTAAAGGAGAAAATAAAGCTCAAATAAGTCCAATTTAAAAATCACAATCTAACAGTATGTATCAAGAACCCAAGAAATGGTGATACTCTTTTGCCCAGCATTTCTATTTCAAAGACTTTAAGGAAATAATCTGAAAAAATAAATAAAATTAAAGCTTTAAATCTAAAGCATTAACTACTGTCATGAAGAAATGGAAGAATCAACTAATTATATCATCGCCACTCAATGGGATGTGACTCAGGCATTAAAAATGAACAGTACAACCTGGATGGTGTGGCTCAACAGCTGAGCATCAACCTATGATCCAGGAGATCGTGGTTCGATTTCCGGTCAGGGCACATGCCTGGGTTGTGGGCTGGATCCCCAGCAGGGGGCATGCAGGAGGCAGCTGATCAATGACTCTCTCTCATCATTGATGTTTCTATCTCTCTCTCTCCCTCTTCCTTCCTCCCTCCCTCTGAAATCAATAAAGACATATTTTTTAAAAAATGAACAGCATATAATAGCAGGGACAATGCTTATTATAATAAAATATGATTATACTTATAAAGCTCAGGCACTATTTTTTAAAAAAAAGACTGCAGCCTGGCCAGGTGTGGCTCAGTGGCTGAGCGTCAACCTAGGATCCAGGCGGTCGGGGTTTGATTCCCGGGCAGGGCACATGCCCCGGTTGTGGGCTCGATCAATGACTCTCTCATCATTCATGTTTCTATCCCTCTCCCTCCCCCTTCCTTTCCTCTCTGCGAAATCAATAAAGATATATTAAAAAAAAAAAAAGACTGCAAAAATTACAAAAAATTTTTTAACAGTGATTTCCTTTATGTAATGAAATTAGATATGATTTTGAAAGGTTCCTTCTATTTCTCTGATTTTAAATTTTGTTTTGTAATGAATAGGTATGGTTTTGCAGATTGGAAACAAATTCAGTAGATTTTATATTTTTAATTGTCTAGTTCATGCATTCTCCGAAGAACCAAAGTAACAAAATTCAAATAAGTATACAGCAGACATACAAACTCCAATCACCCAGTCCATTCCTCTAGTTGGAATTGTGGCTTTGTAAGAATACTCGAAGGAGATCAAATGTCCCCCTCTTTAATGGTAATTTAAGATAAACCAAAAAATGCTAGCTGATATATCCTATGACCATATGACAGGTGAATTTAAATAAGATATACCATGCCTGAATTTTAAAAACCAGATTGTGCTCTTCCTGATATTTTTCCTCCTTTCTGAATTTTAAAATACAAATAGAAAATTAAAGTCAGTATCTTCAAAGTTTTCCATAATTGTTCTAATTAGAACAAGTCCTAGAAATGGAGGCTTTGCATAATGAATTCTTACCAGGCAACAGGATATATTGTTTTATATCCTAGTTACCACTAGAAAAGCCTATTTATACATTGTATGGTTAAAAATTAAAATTAGATCTACTTACTGGAATTGTTGAGGATGGAAACTGGCAGAAGAAATCAGCTCTGAAGTGGGCTGAGCTATCTAGGATGTGAATTAAGGTGAATAAAAATTTAGGTGTCAACCTTTTCTAGAAACAAGTCTGCGCTGGATTAGCTCTCACAAGGGAAGACAGGTCCTAAATGGATATCAACAAACTGGTTACACACATAACCTCTGACAGTTACATACTGCTGCACTTCATTTCATTTCCAGTCACCCGAGGAGAGGGCTGGAAGCCTCATGAGTTTTGTTATTGGTCCTGCCACTCAGAGCAGGAAAACTAGGCCTAGAGGGCTCAGTAACTGGTCCAAGGTCACTCAACAGAAAAAGGCTGAGCCAAGACTTCATCCACAACCTTTTTTTCATAACTTCCATCTATTTTAGTCCACATTACTATTCCTTCCACTTAAACTGCTGAATAAAAATTTAAAGGTTCAATTCTAGAAGTAAGGAGAAACATGCTATTCAAAAGAGGTATTTAATTCCATTGAAGTCCAGTCCAAAATATTAGAAACAGTTTGGATGGTCATTTAAAAACCCTATAAAATAAGCAACGACTCGAAGAAAATTATGATCCACACAGTCAAATATAATTTTAAATATCTTAAAGAACTAGTCATTCTTTCTAATTTTCTTTTTTCTCCAGTAACCACAGATTGATTTAGCATCTATTGTTTCTTTTCTTAATTTTTTTCATATCTTTAGTTTAAAGAATTATTTTCAGAATGTCACCTCTCGTAAACATGTTCTTTTTTAAATGACATCTTATGTCATGGGAACAATGTTATATATAGTCCAAAGGAAAGGCAGGCCAAAGGTCAGTATTCCAGCGCAAAACAAAACAAAAAAACCAAGATGAAAACATGAAGCTCTGACCTTGACATTATTATAACAAGAACCAGCAGGATCAGAATATCAAATTTTAAAAGTACTAACAGACTGGATGAGGAACCTTAATTCTAGCAATGTCTAGTTTTAATATAGTGGTGGTTCCCTTAATTGAGCATAGGTCAGAAACAGCAAGTGGACCCATCTCCAGGTATTTTGATTTCCTAGGTCTGAGCTGAGCTTGAAAATCTACATTTCTAACAAGCTTCCACGTGGTGTTGACGGTCTGGGGACCGCATTTTGAAAATCACTGCTTTAATTAAATGACCTTGGTCCGGTTTTAATCTCTCCTAGCCTCAAATTTCTCACCTATAAAATGAGATTATGTAATCCCTGGGTTCCCTTCACCATTCTATGGACGAAACTTTAAATTTACAGTGGTTCTGATACATCGCTGCTTGGAACTCAGCTGGAGAGCAATTACTGAAAGTAAAAGAAACAGCTAGATAGTCATTTTATGAGATTTTAGGATCCTATGTACAGCCGGACAGGGGTTAATCAGGTCGTTTAAGGAGCAATCCCAGGCAGAATTTGTAGGGAGCTTCCAAAAGTGCGTCCTGAAAGAGAACACTTAATCTGAGCAGCAGCACAAGTCCAGGAAACAATTTGATTTACGTGTCATATGCGGTAGTGACATCCTTCTGGACCCGACCCCGCACACACCCATTCCCTCCCGGGCTAACTTCTGATGCCGAAGCCGGAGGCGGACCCAGGGCGCCAGGCCCTTTTCCGGCAGAGTGCCCACTCGCAGGGGTCGCGACGCCGCGCTCTCCAGGGCGCGCGCGGGGCGAG